ACAGTATCGTACAATCGCCAACATCCAAATGTAAACAATGCGGCAAGGCGCGCGCAATTTTAGCGATCACGTCATCATATTTCCATATTTGTCCCGATATTTAGTACTTTACTAGCGTTGGACAATTTGTGTCATGTTTCAAAACGAAATAGGGAAATTTATAAAACGGATCTTTTTAGTCGAAGTTAGGAACATTTTTCGCTTCTGTGATCCTTCAGATTGCAGGATTTCAGTCCGTAATACCTTAATTGAACTGTTGTCATGCTAGGGAGAGGCCTGTAACTCTTTGGCTTTGTGATATTTCATCAGATAACGTGGCATCTGATAATGTGATGACTCCTTTTCCTGAGTCCTTCATACTTGGTGGTTTCGAACAAGCACTGCAGTTTTCCCTTCATATAAATTTCTGCGCTTGTGTTGTGGCTGTCTTTTGCACTGCGTCCATCAAAATTGTACTATTGAGTTCATCCATTTTTTGTTACATCACTATGCAGCTACAGGTTTTTAATAGCCTCTATTGCCTTTATAATTAGTAGCTTATAAAGCGTATAATAATATACATTGCTGTTTCCTCTTTCCTGGTGGTTGTCTTCCACCAATGCCCAGTACTGACCCCGAGTTTTGTCGTGCTATGCTGCAGCAGGTCTGTTGCAAGTTTAGGCGAAATTTTCTTGACCGACAATGAATCTTTTGCCTATCTCTGACCTGATACTTATGAGGTGATGATCAACAGTTATGGGTGGTAGAACAGCACACCACTTAATCCATTCGGCAAATGCTTCGTTTTTATGTCTGTTTGAAATTTAGCAGAAAGGTTCCTGATCCTACTGCTGTTTTTCATCACCCATATTTTCATGTTTTTCCACACAACATCGCACCGCGACTAGTGTAAACGCCAAATAATGCTCTTTGCCAGATCCCAAAACTTTAAGGTTTTTCCTCTTTCAACAAAAAAATATCCCTGTTTGCAAAAAGACACCGAAGACATGTCCCGATGTTTCTTCTTCTTCCTGCAACATCTGAACAGATTTTTATTAGTCTCTGTTATTTTGATTGTGCCTCCTTGTTAGGGTTCTCTCTCTCTCTCTCTCTCTCTCTCTCTCTCCCTCTCTCCCTCTCTCTCTCCCTCTCCCTCTCTCTCTCTATCTCTCGCTCTCTCGCTCTCTCTCTCTCTCTCCCTCCCTCCCTCCCTCCCTCCCTCTCTCCCTCTCTCTCTCTCACTCTTTCTCTCTCTCTCTCTCTCTCTCCCTCTCTCTCTATCTATCTCTCTCTCTCTATCTCTATCTATCTATCTAATCTATCTATCTATCCCTCTATCTATCTCTCTATCTCTCTCTATCTGTCTGTCTAGCTATCTATCTGGCTGTCTGTGTTTCTGTCTATCTGTTTGTCTGTCTGTCTGCCTATCTATCTATATATCTATCTCTATCTCTATATCTCTATTTTAATCTAATCGACAATTCGCTGTTTTAAATTTGACAGAAAGCTTCCTCGCCCTACTGATGTTTTTTGACCAATATTTTTCCAACATTTATAAGTATCCCATCGCATTAAATCGAATCGTGGGCAATGCAAACACAAACTAAAGCTTTTCATCCCAAAGGCCCTTGTTAAGAGCCCCGTGCGTCCTCCAGCCCTTGGTTTTCCTCTCCACAGCAGTAGAAATATCAGCCTTCACACCGAGGACATCTCCGTTATCCATATTTTTTTAATAATAATTAAATTTGCTGTTTATTTTAAAATTTTATTATTTGTATTGTAGGTTATTAGGCAATATATTCAATAACCTAATTAAGCTCCGGGATGGTTTCAACTTCAGTTTACCATCAAAAATTATAACTCTTTTTAGCGCACAAGGTCGACAGAATGAATTTGTAATTTGCCTTATGGCCGAAATTGTGTTTGCAGCTAATTGGCATATTAAACTCATATTTACATCTCAGTACAGTTCTTTTGGGCCGAGAGCGGGAAGAAACATTTCTCATTTGTTCTTCCCCCTCTTAGGAACAGATTTAGCACGAAGAAACTACATTCTGGAAAGACAGAAAGGTGAAAGGTCGTTCCTTCGATTCCATCCATCCGCCCGGGTAGTTCTCTAATGACGGCCCTAGCCCTTTAGTTTCGAACCCCTCTGGAATTGTCCCTTTTCCTTTTTTTCAATTCTCCTCCTTCGAATAAATCAAATTGAAATCTTTCGTTTGAATAGTAGAAAACGTCAGAGAACCAAAGGTTTTACAATAAAAAATATAAAAAACAGTCGGCCATTGCTGTGAGAAAAAACTTTCGACATCCGCTCCAGGTTGGCATTTGCTGAGAAGGCCAAGGTTGCAGAGGCATCCCGTTATCTGCGAAAGGACTCCACTCCTACTTTCATATAAAATTCACATATTGCGAGTTCAAATATAACTTATAAAAGCATATTTGAAAAAAAATTCCAATGGTGTACAATCAACATGGCAAATGTTCTTTTGCAAATATTCCCAGGATTTAATGACGTTCACATAGTTGGTTTAAAGACCAATTTCAAATTTAATAATAAAATTTCTAATTTACTTTTACATATTTGATTCGCGCGGCTTGCCAGTTTTTTATGGTTTATTATAAAGTTTGTGTTTGTTGAGAAATAATTTCGGAGTAGACAGAAAACGGATTTTATTGATTTAAACATATGAAGTATTATTTAGAAAAACGATATCACAAAAATACATACAGGGCTTGGAGTTGATGTTTTCAATTTTCATACAAATGCGACCAAGCGTTTGCAAACTTACAAACAAAAAACAATCCTTTTACAATGACAGTGAATAGTTAAATATGAGATAAATATTGATTAATTTTCTTCTTTTTGTACACATATATTTCTACAATAAATGAGGCGGTAAACTGAAATTGTAGTAAGATGCAATAACTATATTGTAATAAAACCACTGGATTTTTAATAATTGAATTAATTGATTAACATTTTTCTATATTGTAATGCATTTATCGGATAATAAACCATAATCTGCCAGTTTTGCCATTTAAATATCGAAAATATTAGTTTTTCTCTAGAAGTGTCGTTTTAAACAATTGTATGGGCGTCGGTGGTCGCAACGGTTTAGGCGTTCACACGGCGTTCATCACTGTAAGGTAAAGGTCCCGGGTTCGAATCCAGCGGCCCTGCATCGAACCCGAGATACAAATGGGCTTGTAAGACGGGGCATACTCCTGTAAAATGGTATGTGTCCTCTATGTGGGACATATTACAAAGTTCCTTCCTTCTTTTTCATTTCCCCCTTTTTTTTATTAATACATTTATTTATTAAAACTTTTCAGTTGACTATTAATTTTACAATAGGTAATTTAGTAATAAATACACTTTAGTCCACTCATTAGTGTAGTAATTTATCTAGTTTAGTTCACCTAGTAATTTTTTACAGAACTAACTCAAATCTAAATCCATTTCCAATGGTTCTTATTTATTTTTCTATTAACTTTGGGGAAAAATTTTAATAGCATATTCTATATTTTACTAGGAATTGTTTAAGAGACGATTTGAGAATATGTGTTCGGTTTAAACAATTGAATTGCTAAATTGTTTTCCTCTGATCACTTCATTGCATAGTTAAATTGTAGTTGTCTCCCTCTAATTTTTAAAATTAGTGTCATATATAATCTTTTACTGTTATCGTTCATGTAATTTAAAATTTTCTTGTATATATTTAATAATTTTTACGTCGTTGAAAACCTTGTTTATGCGCGCTTATTAAGTTGCTGGTTTTTTTAATTTATATTATTTGTGTCAAATAAAGTAGGAACTGATTGTCCTTATTCATAAAAATATATAATGCGCTTCATTTTATTTTATGGTAGAGGCTTCACATTTCCTGACACCATTTCAGAATGTTTTGTTCCATTATACATTCTGCGTAAAACCGCATAAGTTTTGAGTTTCAATGCGTTAATGAATTGCTGACAAAACTAAGCAAAAAACAAAGCTTACGGAGATTATAAAAGAAATGCGGGTCTTTCTGTTTCCAAATGTAATAGATAATACGTTATCCGGGTACGGGGGAGAAGAAATAGTTTTTTTAAGGAAGTATTCCCTGCATCCACCATGTTTGGATTAACACAGAGGTTCTCAAAGGTACATTGAAAACGTTATACTTAGCTGACAGGTTTATTGTCATTTTCCATTATTTTATTCCATGTAGTACTCAGAAAAAATTTACATTTCGCTGTTTTTTTCTTGAAAATGTATTTTATAGTTTAGTTGAGGCGTTAAAGTGACTCCTGAGTATACATCTATTTTTCCCTTTCGAAAGGACAGTTTTCAACATAATTTCGAAGGATGAATCGTAAATTGAGGGAAAATAACATTTTTAAAATTGGACGGAATTGTCGAAAACGTTGATAAAATCTAAACGTCAACAGAACTACAGTTGCAAACGTGCATATAAAGAAATCACACCCGTTAAAAATAAATCATTATTGTGTTTGTGTCATACTTCAGATATATTATTTATTCTCCGTAAACCTATAAACCAAGACCTATTTTACGAGCGGTTGTTCTTTGTATTGGCAACATTAATGAATAGGTTACAACTTTTCTCGAAACAGGTTCACACTGGAATTCAACACACCCAACGATTATCTCGTCGAAGTTGATAGTTTTTGTAGATATTCTTGGAAAATTTAATCCTCCGTCGATAAATTGTGTTAACCTTGCAAAATGGCCGATGTGAAATAACATTCACATGGAAATGGAGTTAGATGATAAAAAGGTTTTAAACGAAAATAAATAAATGAGTGCTATAACGAAATCGGCACGATTTTTGATAATTATCCACGCCCAAACTACACTACTACATTTTAGAATTTTCCTTTATCAGACAAACAGAATATATTAACAGATTTGACTGAAACAAAAATCAATCGACATATCTACACCCTATAAATGAATAAATCGATATTCCTTGTATTATTATGTATATTCTAGATTTTTTTATTTGTTTTTTCAGATGAATCTGTCATAGATGATGGGCGAGGAGAAGAGAAGCGACGATGACTGGTTGGTGAGCGGAGGGTCCCCCAGGGCGTATCAAGCCCAGACGAACGGGTACCCTTCCCCGACCATGTCTTCTAACAGCTACGACCCATATAGCCCCAATTCGAAAATAGGTAAGCCCAGCCGTATTAGCCTTAGCACAACCTCCTCCGGGCTTTGAACCCTCTTCGTAATAGCCGACCGAAAGATTAGTTTTACTATCGCTGTAATTGATGCGACGGCGTCCCTCAGTTGCAGAAGTTGGCAGCTCTTTAAAGCACTCCTGTACATTTCTTACATCGCCCAAGATGCGGTCGGGATGAAAGGGGAGTCCACATCCTTCATAAAAGAAGAAGACCGCGGCTATATTTTCGCCCGTCATTTCTAGAATCGTAAATAAGTAGAAAGCAAAGTGTACAGTAAAATGACCTTAACTTGTTTTCTTTTTTTTAATATAACAACACACATTCATTCTATTTGGTAGGTGGAGTACTCAATATTCCTCCATCGACCTGCGTACAATAACAAACTAATCTAATTGGGGTCGATGGGGTACTTTTAAAATATTCCGCTATCGACCCAAGTCACGTACATAGCTGAAAGAGCGATGAGGATGATATGTCACCATCCCCATTCACTCTAATAAATACACTCATTAATACAAAACATACACAGAAACACAAAACACATATTTTGACATCTATATACAATAAAAAATTCCCAGTTACCCTAAAAAGCAGAACAGGGGACCCTGAAACTCGCTAGCATGTCCGAGAAACATTCTTAATTCTGGCGGCTTGCCTACACGCTCTCTGAATGGAACCAGCATGACACGCCTCTATTACGTGGGACACATCGAGCAACGATCATTTTAAATTCTGAAGCGGTATTCCGCCTATTAGCACTTAACCACTATACTTTTAATTTTCCCTAGATAAACATTAAGGCAATTTACATTAAAAGATCTTCCTCAAATGCAAAAACACAAACGGTAGATTGTTTTTTTTAATCTTGTTTTTACGTTTTTACTGCTATCTGTATACATTATACATTGAGCAAATAAATAGTACAGTATGAAAAATCTTATTCAGTGCTATTTAGTTGGTACTAGGATAGGAGCAAGGTAGAAAGTCACGAGGACAAAGCCGTTTAAAACGGATGCTTTTTAGGTGGGGCGTTGAGTAAAAGACTAATACTAAAAGTAAAAGATAGTTGTTTAGGACTGTGGGATTGCTTGGAGTGGAAAACGTGGAAACATGTTCGGTTCAGATCCTCCACCTGTCTATGTCTTTATGAATTGTTAGATTAGATACTGGGTGACTTTTGAGGACTTGATTGAAAGGATTGAACTGTTTTGGGCATTGGAGGTTTTGGCCCAGTCCCACAGCTGGACTCCATGAGTCTGCTCTGTCACTGGGCGTCGGACGTGAGCTCTCACCTTGGAACAATACTGGTTGTTCCGTTTTGGTTTGCGAGCATTTGGAATGAATTTGTACTCGACTTTTCAGGCTTCATTAGATATTTGAAAAGAGACTTTTTGAATTCAAAGTAGTGCCTGCTTTTTTCTGTCCATGGCTGCACACGAAATATCCTAACAACTTCACAACAAAAAGTGGACTAACCCTGGCGTTCTCAAGCACGATTCTTTTATCGGATGGCCTTCCTATACACCGTTTACACATACAAAGAGTGGCCCTTCAATTCATTGGGACACATTGAGAAACCTTTCTGTACTTGCCCAAAATTGTACTTGTCCGTGTGGCACTCGCATGGCTTATCCTTAACCTCAGTCCTCCGAGGACCACCTTTCGACATTGCTCATTTCTTTTAATCGTGTTTTTTTTATTTAATTTCTAGTGTCATGGGGCCGGATCGCGGTGGTTAAGTACGGTGATTGGAACGTCCCGGCCTTAGGCCGCCTCGTCCGCCTTTTCTTAATCCACCCATGAAAACAAAAAGGAAGAAAAATTTAATGCTTTTATTATTCTTAAACGAAGTTATCGATTCGATTGGAGTATGAGGAAAATACAATATCCTCATATTTGTATATGGTTATTTGCTTCATTTATGCATGCGGACATACTCCATTCTCGATATTGACATAAGGAAAGAATATGTTATACCCAACATAAAGCTTTTATCTTGTCGAACTGAGTTTTAACAATTTTCAACATCTGCTAACTTGTCATTCATAGGAAATATTAGTTGAGTTTAAATTTAAATTTTTATGAGTTTTACTTGTCGAAATTATATATCCAGGGATGGTTTTCAAAGTGCTTGGAAGTAATTAAAAAGTAAAAATATCAAACAACCTCGAAAAATACACAGGAGCAATGGTAACGTTTTAAAAATAAACGTTTATTGCAAAAAGTCGCTTTTGATGTCTTTAATGAGCCCATCTCCTCCATCCCCGTGATTAATTTTGTCCTTGATGTTTCTCCAACATGTGGCGATCGATTCTGGTAATTTTATTTCAACCTATTAAATAACCCGTTATTATACCCACGAAAACTAGCTAATAACAAAGATCAAATAGACGGGAAAATTGTGTAAAATATCTTACTGGAGAATAAATGCACACCCAAATATGGATGAGCAGTTCCAATGCTGATGTGCTTGATATCGTATTTTTTAAATAATTTTGCGTAAAATAAAATGATTATGTAATTGAAACAAATCTGGGGGAATTTTTTTACTTATTACATATATATAAATGACCGTCCATTTCTCCTTGTTTATTTCAATTTCTTTTGGGCCATATGAGATTTTAGAAGAAGATATATGTATGATGAATACATCATACATACATGATCTTGTACACGAATTTATTTTGTGCAGATATTTGAGTGTCTCGATCTTGTTACTGACTCTCTGATAAGCATACTTCGTCGATATAAAGTCGTTTGTACCTCAGATAAATACCTAAAGGTATTTGTACTGAACAGACACAAAATATACATTACATATATATAAATACTAATAATCGATACCTTTATATTTACTTTGCTAAAAATTTCTTTCCAAGATGGCTAAATGCCAACAAATTCCATTCTAGTTAACCATTTGGCTCTTTCTTCCTGGTATAGCTGACACCTAAGGTTAACATGGTCGACATCCTCTACTTCACCTTGACATGAGGATTCTGGGCTATCTTTTTTGGCAAAGAAATATAGCTTTCCAGCGAAATCGCCATGCCCTGGCAAGAACTGCGAGACTAAGTGTTGATTACTATTTTATTTTCTATTCTTTCTCTGATGTCTGGGAAGCATTTATAGGCGTGTCGTCCTTTGCAGCTTGCCTTCCAGCGAGTTTGCCACTCGTTTTTGGCCCATTCATGTGCCTCCTTAGGTGTGCTGATTGGTATGTTGGGTGTCTTATTGATGTTTATGTCCCATAATGCACATGTTTTTCTATTGCAATGTCTACGGGAAACTGCCCCGCGACTACGTGTAGTGCTTTTGTAGATACCGTTATAGTGCAAATTAGCAATGAATTACGTTGGGCTGTGATGATATCGTTTTTGCACGCTCAAAGTTCTTGCCCATGTCAAGAGGGAAGCACAGATTGCCTTGTACATGATTATTCTATGCTTGTAGCTACAGCCCCAAATTGCACCGCAGATTCTCTTGGCAATGGCGAATTTGGCAATGGATCTGGTTTTTATCTATTTGGTGTGTTCCCTGAAGTTCAAGTGTTCCCCTATTATTATGCCAAGGTACGTTACTGTGCGAGGTTCTTCCTTCTATCCGCATTACTGGTGGGCTTCTCCAGTTTAGCTTGACTTTTATTAAAATGAGAGCTGTTTTCTCAATAGCAAACTCCAATAAACTCACCCAGAGTGGGGTTAAACGCTTCGATTCACGCTAATAAACTACATTCATTCCAATAAATTAACATGAACATAGACACACACAAAAACTACATACTTTTAAAAATCGTTATTGCTCTGAGGTTCTACAACAGCGATCTCGACACGCTACCGTGCCCATGACTATGCACAGGCCCCACGATATATCAAAATATTGCCTATAAACATAAAGTTTTCTATATTTGAAAATGTGATCGACCGTCATTTTATTCTTACATAACAGGTACCTAAGCGGTCGCTTTTCGGCCAGAAGGTGCTCCCGAGTTATTCTTGAATGACCTATGCGCAGTCTTGTCTGTATGTCCGTTTCCATTTGCGACCCAAGGGCAGACGTCTTTCGTAACTAGCCACAGTTTAGCACATGTATTTCTATTTTTACGAGCCTAGCGGTTTTTCCATTCTCCTTTTAGTAGTAGTTTCGATTATAATTTTTGTTTTATTGATTACCTTACTGTGCTAGTTATTAAGTGAGATCAAAGATAAATTAATCGAAAAATTTCATATACTTGTTATCTCCAAGGATGGGTCAAAACAAAAGCTAAGCTGTAGCTCATATTCATAAGGTTAAAATGTATAATAAAAAATTATAAAATAAATTAAATAAATTCAGAAAGAACCCGGGCTTTAACCTCTCAATTCAAAGCCTTCGAATTGAATTTTATTGCAATTACGCTTGCTTTTCCCTTAAGAAAAGTTTTTTTTTCCCGAAAAAAAATATCTAGCGCTTTTGAAATAAAATGTACAGTTCGTTTCCCCCGGACTGAAAGATGAGAAAGGACAAATTGTTAGTCGGGCGAGTCTTTTGAGGGGCAGACGAGCCGTGAGACGGTTATTAAAAAGTCGCCCTAACGAAACGGCCAATCATTTGATTCTGCTGAGAGATTTCTACTTTTACAACTTATTGTATGATGTTAACGACACCCCTGCCGTGTGGGGTGCCTTTAAAAACCTTCTAATCAAGTTGAAACGCCATAAAATTCTAACAATACTCGTCTCCGGTTTAACACCCCTGGATTTTTACTGGTTTTGTTACGGCCCTAGTGGAAAAAGTAAATTAACCCCTTTGGTTTTAGTACAATGTTACTGTACCACAAAATTGTAGAATAAGCGGAGTAGTCATAAATAGTTCTTTTTTTATCCGCCATTTATTTTACATTTTTGTTAGGGTTAGCTTTTAACTCTGCAATCTTTCTTTACATATAATTTTGATTTTATTACTGCTTTTTACGATTTTAATTGTATTTCTTAGACAAGAAGTACTATAAA